TTTGGACAGCCTTCGGCGCGTCGCTGTGACGTAATCGGTCTACAAATGCGGCCTCAGGAGGAAGCAGCCCATGAATTTGGACACGACATTGGTCTCTCTGTGATATTATATCACTTCCTGTTCCTGTTACAACACACAGTGGTTTTTTGTGTAGCTCATTTAATTAAAAACCTGTAGCTAATGATTAAAACTTGTGCTGCCTGTCTGTACAACCCGATATCAAACACCCCGACCCACAGTGCCCATTTCACGCTTTGCCTCCAAAACGTAAAATCTACACGTTGCATTAAGTTGAAATAAGCTGCAGAACCAGCAGAGGGAAATATTTGATTTCAAGCCAACATGGAAATAATAAAGGAAAGCGTTTAAACAATATTAACACATTCGCATGTATATCCATATTAGCCGCTTAATCGTGACGATGCTGGGAGCCTGCGATGTACTTTGTACGTTACGATTTTGTGGCTTTAAATATATTTTCTCCCCCTGCTGGTAATGCAATTTCTGCATGCAGTAATGCAACTCATGCATGTTTGTCTCGCTCACGTTTTAGAGAGGCAAAGTGTGGTGGACACGGTGGGCCGACGTGTCTGTTACAGATTTTGCTATGATACTGGGTTGGTACATATTTACACTCCACCCTGGCTGAATTGTAAAATATTATTACTTATTTAGGTTAAAAATATTTACTATATTACCAAAAACTTTAAAAACACCTCAGTACACTGTATTTTTGGAAAACTGTGCATAATATTTCTGCAGGAAATATGTTCCCCATCAGTATATGATACAATACATCATCTGCATTTTCACAGACATGAAACCTCTTTACTGTAATTATAATTATTGAGATAAGGCATGTGCATCCATTTATAGGTATTTTATAAGAATGATCTCTGTGAAGCGTGTCAGTATGAATAATACTTCACAAAGAGACATTTTGAAGTCATTTTATGTGACATATGAATGTAAAACACTGACACTGAATTCAGTTTCTATTTCAACTATAAACTCCCGTTATTTTTGTTTCAGGCAGTAGAGGGGACAGGCCTGGCCTTCATAGTGTACAGTGAGGCCATTAAGAACATGCCTTTGCCCCAGCTGTGGTCTGTACTGTACTTCTTCATGCTCCTGCTGTTAGGAATGGGCAGCATGTTGGGAAACGTTACAGCCATCATCACCCCGTTACGTGATTTCAAGATTATGTCCCGCATGAGCAACGAGTTGTTCAGTGGTAAGATCCGTACTGATGTTGGTGGAGAAGGTCTTTGTATTCTCACTGAACCACACTTTTCCTGTCTGTCTGGTTGGGTTACAAACACACTGACTGTGGTAAAGATCAGCATTTATGTTTATTGCAGCTTATAAAACTAGTTTTCAGCTGAGTGCACAAAGTTAAATAGAATTCAAAGTACTTGTGATGCTCCTACTTCCTACGACAGGCCGTGCAGATATTATCAAAGTGATTCTTTATGGTCCTACCGTTCTGAGCAGGCAGATGTCTGGGAATACCAGGAGCTTTACGCTGTGTGAGAATTTGGCTTTTAGTAAAAAGAGCTTTGAGTGTTCAGAACAGACTTTATAATAGTTGGTGTGTGAAGCAGACAGACACACAGCTTCATTGCTGGGATGCCAGAAATACTAAACTAAACTAAACACAGGGAGTAACACACAGCTCGGAGGAAGAGGACGGTGGGAGACGCAGACGTAAATATGCACGAGGGCACAAACCACAGGAGGAACACAGCTGATCTAACTAAGGAGACAGGGGTATACAGAGCATTTGTGCATTTACAGTACACATTTAGCTGCAATAACCAAACGGGACCTTCATAATTGGTAACGGGCGCAAAGGTTATCCAGCTGACACTCCCCATCGCTGCACATCCTCCCAGATGCTCGGCCAATAGAATCAGGTCATGATTCGATTCCAGAGTTTTATCATATCCCATGGGCGACCGTGGCTCAGGGTTGGGAAGCGCATCTGTAACCGGAAGGTTGCCAATTCGATCTCCGGGCTCTCTGTCCTGGTCGTTGTGTCCTTGGGCAAGACACTTCACCTGCCGCCTACTGGTGTTGGCCAGAGGGGCCGATGGTGTGATATGGCAGCCTCGCTTCTGTCAGTCTGCTCCAGATCAGCTGGGGCTACAACTGTAGCTGCCTCCACCAGTGTGTGAATGTGAGAGTGAATGAAGCCTTGAAAAGTGCTTTATAGATCCAATCCATTATTATTATGTGAGCAGCCGAAATGATTTTTCGGGTGGCTCGTTACAGCCGTGTTTGTGTTTTTTCCACCAGCTTTTCAACACTTGAAACTGGTTGTGTTCTTCTGGTGTCTCAGTCACTCGACACAATCTGTCTCCAATGAACACAGAGTGCGTTACTGTTACATCAGGACACACTGTTTGACCATCGGTTTTCATGACTTGGTCAAAGGCTGAGTGTAGGGTGTTATTATGACACTGCTGCGGTGGAAAATCTATTGGAACCAACATGATCTCTTGTGAAGGCCCTGCTACGTCCCCCAGAATCAGTGTCCCCACACCATAGCTGAGTGCAGCAGAGACACCGCATGCCTCTCCCAGCTGTGAATGCACCACTGCGCACTGCCCCATTAACTTACTGAACCTGAGCCAGTCCGTTCCATAGCGAGATGCCGAGACACAACAGAAGAAAACATTATTGGAGAAGAATGGTGGTGCTGGGACTCTTGGGGCCCTCTGGGGCCAGGACCGGCCAACCTCCTGCCACTGGCTAAACAGTCATGGCAACCTCAAGGCTGGCCTGCCAGTGACTGCAGACCCACTCCGCTGTTGCCAGGAGCTCCTCCACGAATCATTGTGGGAACACCGTGTTCAGCAGCAGCTCCTGGTACAGGGCCAGGCTGCAGCCACCTGACCAGGATGTGTCCTTCAGTGTGCATATTAAACCAATATGTAGGACTGCTTTCTGCCATTTGTGCAACATCTGTAAAATTAGAAATATCCTGTCTCACAGTGATGCTTAAAATTTAGTTCATGCATGTATTACTTCCAGGCTGGACGACTGTAATTCATTATTATCAGGAAGTCCTAAAAACTCCCTGAAAAGCCTTCAGTTAATCCAAAATGCTGCAGCAAGAGTCCTGACAGGGACTAGAAAGAGAGAGCAGATTTCTCCTGTTTTGGCTTCCTGTTAAATCCAGAATTCTGAAAAAAATAAGCCCTAATCCTCTTCCGTGTAATGCAGCTCATTGTGACTGGTGTTGTAGTTTGGTGCACCAGTGACTGAGGTGTGAGCTTTTCTTGCAGGTTTGGTGTGTGTGTTTTGCCTGCTGCTGGGCCTGGGCTTCACCACCACCTCAGGGAATTACTGGTTTACCATATTCAACGACTACGCAGCCTCTTTCTCTTTGCTGTTCATCGTCCTCATTGAGGTCGTAGCTGTTAGTTACATCTATGGAATTAAGAGGTATGTGCTGTCATTGTGATTGTTTCCACATTTGTTACTGTAGATTAAAACCTTTTTGTTCTGGCTATACATAATGTACTACTACTCTACTGCTGTAAAATTCAATAATCGATGCGAACATGTTTTCTACTCTCTTTAGGTTTGAAAAAGACATAGAAGACATGCTTGGTCATCGTCCCAACTGGTACTTGAAAATCATGTGGGCAGTAACCAGTCCCTTGCTCCTTATTGGCCTCTTTATATTTTTCATCATTAACTACATCCAAGGAGGGGCACCCACTTACCAAGCATGGAATAAAGAGCTGGTGAGTTCTGGTTTCAATATTCGTGTAGACATTTTTTCTTTCTCCTCAACAGACAGTATGGATTATCATTATTGAAGGTTTGTGTTAGGTCGTGTTTAACAAAGTCTCCTGTGATACCGTGCACTCCAAAAAGGAAATGAGTGGAAAAGTCTGGTGGAAAATGGCAAAAAAGATGGCGTAGTGCACTATTAAATAGGATCGTTTCAATTTAAATGATGCTGTGAATCGACGACTTCCAAGTAGCTCAACAACTCAAGAAGCAAAAGTAAAGGAAATGTTTTTTTCATTAGCTCATCCAGAAAAGGACCAAAGTCCGTCTGCCATCCAACAAGGATCTGTACTCCTCCTACAGTATTGATCTGAAGTTTTAAATTGCACATAATTATCATGTAATAGTTTTTTTTACCCAAACTGTGCTCAAGATCAAGATTTGTTGCTTCATGAGCAAGAATGAATCGCTCTCAGGAGCTCCATGAATTCCAGTGTGAAGTATTCCACAGTGAACTGTTTGTGCGACTGGGAATGGGAGCAGCGTAACCACCAAGTGGTAGGCCACATAAAATCACAAAGCAGATGCTGAGGTGCAAAGGCTGCCATCTTTCTGCAAAGTCAGTCTCTACAGACCTCCAGATATCCCATAACCTTCAGACTAACTCAAGAACATTGCACAGAGAGATTCATGGAAGGAGTTTCCATTTGGGCGATCGTGGCTCAAGAGTTTGGAGTTCGTCTTGTAATCGGAAGGTTGCCGGTTCGAGCCCCGGCTCGGACAGTCTTGTCGTTGTGTCCTTGGACAAGACACGTCACCTACCGCCTACTGGTGATGGTCAGAGGGGCCGATGGCGCGATATGGCAGCCTCGCTTCTGTCAGTCTGCCCCAGGGCAGCTGTGGCTACAACTGTAGCTGCCTCCACCAGTGTGTGAATGTGAGAGTGGTATTGTAAAGTGCTTTGAGGGGTCTCGAAAAGCGCTATATAAATGCAATCTATTATTATTATTATTTCCACGGCCGAGCAGCTGCATCCAAGCGCAGTGCAAAGTGTCTGAAGCAGTGATCTCAAAGCTTGCTGAGTGTCTGGCAATCCAATGGACCAGTCTGTTTTGGTGGTTGTTAGGAGAAAGGTACTGTGTAATGTCTGGGTGGGGCAGTTTATGGTGTGGGGGTGTTTCCCAGGAGCTGGGCTCGGCCATTAGTTCCTGCAAAATTCCATTACTGCTTCAGCATACCAAGACAGTTTGGACAATTTTATGGCAACAGTTTGGGGATGTTCAATGAAGAACAAGTATCTGTCTTTTCATTTATTTATTTATGAAGCACATTTAATAACAAAAAAGAGTTGACCAAAGTGCTGTACAACGTAAGAATTAAACAATAACATTAACATCATCAAACAGGTGGGAAAATTTGAATAAAAAAATTGGTAACTCTCATGCAGTATAGCAGTGGTTCCCAAACTTCTTTTTGTTAGGCCCTCCTTTGTTTTACAAGACAATCTTTAGGCTCTAGAGGGCGTGCAAAGCTGCAAAAGGTCAGACAAATAGTTTGTTGCTTGGCCATTTAGCACTTTATAAGTCAAAAGATTTTAAAATTTAATCCTAAATCGCACCGATGAAGAGAGGCAAGCGCCGCGGTGATATGTTGTCTCCTTATTTGGGTCAAGAGGCCGGCTGCAGCGTTGTGTACGAGTTGAAGCCGTGGCAGACTGGACTGACACCAGCGTATAGCGAATTAATCTGGGGCATAAAAGTTACAGCTTGGTCCAAAAATAATTCAGTTTTGTCTCATTAAAGGTAAAACAATTTGAGACCATCCAGGTTTTACCTTTGTCAAGGCATTTGAATAAAGATTCCATGGGAGTGGAGGTGTTTCTAATATCCGAAGATAAATCTGGATGTCGTGAGAGTGAAAGCAGATATTATGCTTCCTAAAAATTAGGCCTGGGGGGGCATATAGATTGAAAAGGGAATTGGGCCTAATACGCAACCCTGCGGGACACCACAAGTAAATGGAGCTGTGGAGGACGTAAAATCATCAAAGTCCTCTCGGAGAGGAAGGACCTAAACCAATCCAAAGGGATACCTTTGATATCACATTGCTCCAATCGCAAGATCAGATTACTGTGGTCAACGGTATCAAAGGCTGCAGTTAAATCTAGAAGCAGGAGCACAGCTGAGTCACCTGAATCGGTGATTAATAAAATGTTATTAACAATTTTTAGTGCTTTTTGTTTGTGTGTGCTGTGGTAGGTTTTGAAGCCCGACTGGAATTTCTCAAAAATATTATGACTGGTACAGACAAACGAGATTTGCTAAACTTTCTGAAGAGTTGTTGATGCTCCTCAGACTGAAGCAAATCTATCATTCAAGAGTTTGAATTCCACCAAAATCCTAGTCAGACAGAATTCTTGGAAGCACGGAGATATTTTGATATAGGGAAGGGAGTTTGATGCCATCCATGTACACAGAGATCAAACTGAAAATTAGCAGTCAAAAAAGTATAATTAAATGAATCAGAAACAGGAAAAACACCCTTCTGACACGATGTTAGTGATGACATTGGATACTACTTTGGCAGAGTTGGCTGGAATGTAAATGAGTAATCCAGTGTAACAGCAAACTGTCATATCATCTTATTTTATTCTACAATTTTATTTATAACGTGTTGGGATTTGGACACGTGATATTATTGTACAAGCAGAACACACACAAACTGAACATCAGTGATGACATTTTTATTTAGCCATACCTTTCACATAGTTATGAGTCTTTACCAAGATTAGGATCTGGATATGTTTGCAGCTGCAGCGCTCTACAGACTGATGCCGTTACAATCAGAAAGCAAAGTAAATATTGTGAGTTGATAGCAAAAGTTTCTGCTAATGGTGAACTGTATGTGTGGCTTCCCAGGGTGCATCAGTAGTGACGGAGTACCCCGTCTTTGGTCAGGTCTTCATCGCGCTGCTGCTGGTGTCGTCAATCAGCTGTGTTCCCCTCACAGCTCTGTATGCCTTCTGCAGGAAGAGGAAAGATCGAGCCTATGAAAATCGTCCATCTGTTGTGAGTACGGTATCACTGTAGGGACCAAACCTGTCCCGCTTCCTGGACCTCTCCATATCTGCACTTCAGCTGAGCAGCAGGAGTACAGTAGTTCTTACCTAATACACAGTGTGTGGTGTTCGATTTGAGTTTCACCTTAGCGACGGCCCTTTTGGACTGTTTGTCTGCAAAAACGACGTTGTCCCAGTGTTGCCGTAGTAACAGCTTAGGCGCCATCAAACTCAGGCGTTCTTTGTTCAGAATACTCTCCATATTTCCTTTGAATCTGTTGTTTCTCTCAGTATTAAAGTCAGACGTCTGTCAGTACTCAAGTCTAAACATTCAGAAGAATATCCTCTAAATCTGTGGAACATTATTGCTCACATTATCAGATGTAGTTTGTCTGACTGTCAGATGTTTAAATATAGTTGGAATTTGTTTGTCGTTATTTTTCTAAATAGTAGTACGGTACTATGAATGTATGTACATAAGCTACTATGAGTTTTAAATGTATTGTTTTAATCATTTTTTCCCATGTTACACACTGTAAACATGTTTTAAAGCAGTAGTACACAGAAGTAGGTATCAAAAAAGGAAGTCCTGTCCAATCACACTATAACCTCGCACTATAGTGGACTCGCCTGTTAGTGATGGGATTTCCGGCTCTTTTTAGAGAACCGGCTCTTTCGGCTCAGAACCGGCTCTTCAGGTTGTTTTGTTGCTTTAATTAATTTATTATTAACAATAATATAAAATTATGCACAAAAGGAATTACTAACGTAAAAAAAGTGGTTTTATTTATATATGTTTATATATAAATATATGCGGTGGCCCCTAGAGAGAAAACACGTACAAACTGCAAAACACATTTCTAGCATGAACTGAACTTCCAAAGCAGAGCTACTAGATCACTTAAATTACACAATTGAAAGCATGAAAGCATATGTGTATTGTTTGTGTATTTATACACAGGCACTCATATATATTCAAATAATTGAAAAACCATGTTCATTTACCTGTTACTACCACACACCAAATCTGTTTTGGAGTTTGTAC